TTATTCTTCAATTGATAGTCGTGTAAATATTTTAAATATAACTAAATAAGAAGATGTTTTTTTTTTTTGTAAAGGATAATCGAAATGGTGCTTCATATGCTGGTAATAATAATCGAAATCATCATTATCATCAACAACGTACACATAATAATTCGACTTGGCATTCACAACAGTAAAATGTGGATCATACATTGTTGAATTTTATCCTATTTTTTTTTTCTAAACACATTCATTTCTTCTTCTTCTTCGTCTTCGTCTTTTGTTCTTCAGTTCCAAACTTGTATCGTTTTTTTTCTTTCTTCTTTCTTCTCATTTCTATTTAAAAAAAAAAACAAAACAAAAAAACCAGTGCGTATAACATCGTATAATTGCTTTATAAAGCATTTGTCGATGTAACTTATTTTCTTTATATATATAATTACATCACACATATTAAGTTTTTTTTTAAGAACAAGAACAAAAAAAAATACAACAACCTAAGTCTTTTGTGTGTTGGTTTTTGACGTTTATTTCTATGTTGTTTCTTGTGTTTTTTTTTTCTTCTCTTGTGATGATAAAACAAAACACACACACACACATACACATTCCCCTTATAAAAAAAAAGTTTTCGTCAAAAACAAACATATTTATTGTTCGTTTGTATTTCATCATTCTTGTTGTTCGCTAAATTCGAAATGAATAAAAAGATGATGATTGATAATAAACGAAAAATTAAAGAATTATTTTTAAAATTATAATTAATTACTTAAAATTTCATGAAAAAAGATAATATGAAAATCAACGGATAGTTTTCTTATATGATAATGTCTTCGAATGAGTAGATATCTTATAAATTCGTTTTCTGATATTTTAATCAGATGCCTTTTCTATTTGGAAATTGCTCATGATGAATGCAATAAAAAAAAAAAAACAAAAAGTTCATGTTCTTAGCATATTTTTTCCGAAAATACTGCACTTTGACAGTAATTTTTAAATGGATATAGTGATTCTCTCTCAGAAATTTCAGAAAACAAAAACTGAATTTTAGATTTAATAGCTGTTTTGAATAGGCAATGACAGGTAGCGCTCCGGTTAGGTGCATCGTGTTATCAAGGATATACGGTGTCAATAGAGTAGCAGTACTCTCTACTATCCTACTCAAAATAAGAGAGGAGCTAGTGTTTTGATTTGGTCGTTAACTACTCTACTGACTATTTAGATCCTAAATGATTTATAAGAGCGCCATCTGCTACTAGTGTTCTGGTTCCGTCGCTAGCACTTATGGCTTTCTGTTCCAGCTGTAAACAATGGCAGAGAATGTTTGCTAATCAAATACATTGAGAAAAAAGAAAAGCCAGTTTCAATATATGTTTTACTAATAAAAATTTAACCCATAACTGGATGTGATTAGGGTTCTATAGCTAATACAGATGATTCAAACGCAATTCTTAATAGTCTTCAAATATATCCACTTTGAAACAATACATCATGACACAATAATAATGCTAGAGTCAAAATGCACAATCAAACTATTTTTCATTTAAAGATTCAAATACATTTTAAATAATTTTTTCTAAAATATACACTTAATTATCAATTACATATTATGACAAAAATATCTAATATTCTTAAAACATCGTTTTTTATTGATTTCATAATTTTATAAGATATTTTGAAAATTTCTTTCTATCAGTAAAAATTTCATCAATAGATATACATGAAGTAAAAAAACAAAAAAAAAAAGACTTTATTAATATGAATAATTTTTTAATTTCAAGTTTTTTTATTTTTATATAATTATCAATAAGTAAATAATCAATACTATTTGATTTCTAACTAATCATTAAAAAACAAAACAAAAAAAAAAATTAAAATTCGTTACTTTCTGTTGCTGTAGAATTATGTAACCAATGAATTATTTTTGGCCATACAATATGACAAAAAATATATATATGAAATATTCCAAGAAACATAAAAATTAATGCAAGACTACCAAAATTTGATTTAAAAAAGAAATATTTAAAATAAACAACAAAATTAGTAAATGTTGGATGACTCATAAGATAAGAAAGTTCATTTCGACGACGATATTGTTTATTTGAACGACGTGTTCGTATAGTAGCATTCTAAATTTCGAAGATAAACAAAAATTATTTTTTATTGTAAAAATCAAAAAAAAAAGTATTACAACATACAATATTAGATGACGTTGAATTTGACATAATCAAAGAGTCTTTTTTTCTAGTTTATTTTATGAATATTCATTAGTATACATTTCACGTGTAATCATTCAAGCAAAACGTCAGCTACGTTTTTCATTTCTTTCGTTTTTTTTTGCTCTTCTCTATCAATTTATCTATCTATTAGTTTGCATATTAATCATAATGCATATGAAAAGCATGAGCCTACTGTGTTTTCGATAGAAGGTTTTTTTTTTTTTTGTTATTATCTAAATATTTTCACAATTGCATAATGCTAATAATTGACAATAGAACGAAGTCTTCTATGATATTTTCTAATGAAAACATGAATTAGAAATGACTAGCTAATGAGACTTTTTATGAGAATCGATTAAAACTAGTAGATTTGAAATTTATCGGTAAAAAGAAAAAAATCTTTAGATTCGAATAAAATTAATTTTTAGTACTTAATTAAATTTTTGTAATCATAATAAATTCATTCAATATAATTCAAGGCTCTTATGATAAACTGATAACAAAAAAAACTTCAAATTTCAAAATCTTATATTCTACTTTTTAGAAATAATAAAAATATATTTTAATTACTTTTGACTATCTATAACATAATCAAGGGAAATATTTGAAAATATTTTATGATTCGATGTTATTGACTTTGACAGATGTATGTCTGTAACTTATCGTAGTAGCTTGTCAAATACAATTGAAATTTTTACATATATCATTTATTGGATTTGATGTACGTGAAAAGATAAAAACAGAAATTGCATCATTGAAATCTTCCGTTTCTATCTAAAAAAAAAATTTTCCTATAAGAAGTCGAATGTTATCTTTTTCTACTTGATCGAAATAATAAATTCTACTAAAATTTATTTGATAATAGAAACAAAAAAAATGTTCCGAATAATAATGGATGATTTTGTAAAGAATTAAAGACGAAGTTTTTCTTTGAAATAAATCAACGAGAAAAATTCTTCAGATACTACTTTCTGATTTCAATGATTTTTTTTTTCTTCTGTCTACAGATAAATGCTTTTAATTTCGGACTATGTGCATTATGTAAAACTTCATGAGTTATAAATACTATGAAAAGAGTTCAGGATCTACAGCTTATTATATTTTTCAATTCAATGTCATGATTTTCCTCAGAAAAAAACTAATTTTCAAAAAAATTTGCATAGAAATAAATTTTGTCAAGAATAGTTAATCATGAAAATATTAGATCATTTCATCAGTTTCGGTTCTGAAATAAGAACATTAAATTCATGAGTGTATATGAGAGATGTCCTTTTATCATGACTGTATCTTGCGATAGGAATAGTAAAAACATCTACTTAGGACAAATCAAAAGTTCGTAGAACAGTTTTAAAGAACCTTGTCGGATAAGGTAACCTATTCAGAAATGAAAAATCAAATATACCACGTTGTAGAGCTTTTTGAAGCGCGTCGAATGGTATATAATAAATCCTGTTTTCATCAGACTTTAAAGGAACTAGAGTCAATTTACTAATAGACGACTACGCACCCATATTCACACCCTCACCTAAGTATGATAGGTTACTGAATATTGTGGTCCTTGGGATTAGTCGAAAATATTTTTTTTCACATAGGATTTTGCAGAGTTTTTGACGGGCTATAGCCTCATATATGTAGCATCTCCGGTCATCGTGTCAGTGTGTGTGTAGTCGTCTATCAGTAAATTGACTCTAGTTCCTTTAAAGTCTTATGAAAACAGGATTTATTATATACCATTCGACGCGCCTCAAAAAGCTCTACAACATGGTATATTTGGTTTTTCATTTCTGAATAGGTTACCTTATCCGACAAGGTTTTTTAAAACCGTTCTACGAACTTTTGGTTTTTCCTAAGTAAAATTTGCACGATTTCAAGTCGAAAATCAATTTCCTGAGCGAAGCATGGCACTGATATAAAAGATTACCGTAAAAATACATCATGTCTGCAGCAATAATCTATAAGTCTCAACTCTTTTTTTTTTGGTTGCTCATAATCTAATAGAATTTACATGATGCACATGCTTCTGGCTCAAAAGCGATTACTAAGTTGGAGAACTCTTCTCATAAACTGTCAACTTTTGACTTTAACCTTTGCGTATATTAAAAACTCGACTAGACTAACTCAAATGAAGAAAAATTCAAATCTCTTTAATTTTATTCTAAAGACTAATTAATCTAGCTAAGTTTTTCGAACTCTTATCAACAAATATTCGAAAACATATTCATAAAACATTCGTATTTTTATTTTGAAAATTTTTTCATATGTCATTTTAATGACTAATGTCATGAATTGTTTTATTGTTATATCGGAAGTGATAAGAAAGTTTTATATTATATTTATCAAATATACAGAGATAATTTTACTATCATAAATAAATATCATTCATCTTAAACATATGTTTTATAACAAACGACTATATTTTTCCATGAGAACGCATTCTTGCATATATTCAACAATTGAATTAAATTTAATAAATATTTATATCGTATAAAAATTTTATTCAAAAAAAACGTTTCCATAAAACTTCAGTTGATTGCATAATGGCGTCCTCTTTTTACCTTGTAAAAGTTAATTTACATATCTCGAATAGCAACATATACTGTCATGGTTTTTTTCTTCCTTTCATTTTTTTTGATTTAATGGCATTTCTTCTATAAAAGATACTTTAACGTTAAGTGAGCGAACAGTACAAGTCATAGTGTTACACTATCGTTTTTTTTTTTCGTTGTTGTTCGTTTTTTTTTTTTTTGTGTTTCTTTTATAATAATTTTCTTTTAGATTGATTGCTCGATTAAGAAATAACTAGTTATGGCTGCAAGTGAAACCGTACGGGTTATTGTACGATGTCGACCGATGAACCAACGTGAAATTGATTTACAATGTAAAGTAAGATAATATTTTTATAGGAAAATTTTTTCGTATTTAAATTTTTTATTTAATTTCTAAGACAATTGTTTCAATCAGTACACAATTAAATCAAGTTCAATTAGAAAATATTGAACAAAGTAGTGAACCACCAAAACAATTTACTTTCGACGCAGTTTATCCTGAAGATTCAATAACAGAAAATCTTTATGCTGAATCAGTTTTTCCTTTAGTTGAAAATGTAAATTAATTAAAAACAAATTAGACATAAGAATAAAAATTTTGCTTTTTTAAAGGTACTCGAAGGATATAATGCAACAGTATTTGCTTATGGACAAACAGGGTATATAAATATTTCGTTTGTTTTGAATAAAATATCAAATAATTTTTTGTTTTTTTTTTGTATTAGATGTGGAAAATCTTTTACAATGCAAGGAATAAATACACCAGGTTCAGCACAACGTGGTGTTATACCTCGGTCATTTGAGGTGAGATAAAGTTTTATAAACTAATCGGAAGAAGAAAAAAAACAACATTTGTAGAATGAATAATAGAAAATAAATTTAAAGATCCATGACCTGCGTTTTCAAAGTGTAAGGCAAAATGTTTCGTTTATTTTGTGTTTATTTAAGTAAGAATGAAAACAAAACATTTGTTTTTAGAATCAGAATAGTATGTACTTTCTAAATATGTTTTTAGATTTTTTTTTGTTTTGTCTAACATGAAATTGAATCGTTATGATTGAAACTGACTCAAATAGAAAAGAAAAAGCTTTTGAAATCCATTTAAAGATCGTATCAGCTCATTTTCTGTTGAAAACAGCCGATCAATATTTCGGACGAGATAAACGATCTCTTTCAAAGTCCTTCTTCGAATGGGTCAAAGTATAGGAGTAAAAAGTTTACATTCGTGACAAACATTATTGATGTACAATCAAAAGCAATATAACAATAAAGTCTTGTTCTAATATACGAAATATTTCCTTATTACATTTCTAAAGGATTAAATAACACGCTAGTCTAGAAAATATGTCTCAAAATAAATATTATAAAGTAATATTAGCAACAACAGTTAGATCATGTTTCTCATTTTAATCCCCATAGGATTGTGTTGACAGATTTGACAGTCGAACAAATATTTTTGTCTTAAAACTTTTACAATATAAGTTTGATAGAAAATAAATTGTTCTATATATTAATAATTAAATTTAAAAATAATATACTTTGCTAAATCTTGAATATTATTTTTAGCATATATTTGATGCATCATCCATAGCAACTGGTACTAAATATCTTATTCGTGCATCATATCTTGAAATATATAATGAAAGTATTCGTGATTTACTTGGAAAAGATGTGAAAGCAACACTTGATCTCAAAGTAAAAACAAAAAAAAAAAAGATTAAATATATAAATATGATTTTATTTATTAATTAATTATTCTCCAAAAAAAAAAAAAAGGAATATGTTGACAAAGGTGTTCATGTACAAAATTTATCATGGCATGTATGTTCAAGTGTAATCGATTGTGAACGTCTTATGGAAAAAGGAAATCGAAATCGTGCAACAGGTGCTACACTTATGAATAAAGATTCTTCTCGATCACATTCAATATTTACAATTGTTACGGAAATGTGTACACGTAGTCAACTTGATGGAAAAGATCATATTCGTGCTGGTAAACTTAATTTAGTTGATTTAGCTGGTAGTGAACGACAATCAAAAACACGTAAATATTTTTCAAATAATTTTTTTGTTTTGTTCTATTTGAATATTAATTTTATTTATAAAACTATAGATGCTGAAGGTGAACGTTTACGTGAAGCAACTCGTATTAATTTATCACTTAGTGCTTTGGGTAATGTAATATCAGCATTAGTTGATGGACGTTCAAAACATATACCTTATCGAGATTCAAAATTAACAAGACTTTTACAAGATTCACTTGGTGGAAATACAAAAACATTAATGGTAAATAATTATATATTAGAATAATATTATAATTGATGTATATATTTTTTTTTTTTGAGGTTGCTGCTATAAGTCCAGCTCATGATAATTATGATGAAACACTTTCAACATTACGATGTAAGTTTATTATTTATTTAAATATTTTATATTTTATATATATATATATATACAGATGCTAATCGAGCAAAAAATATTAAAAATAAACCTCGTATTAATGAAGATCCACGTGATGCTCAAATGAAATTATTACAAGAAGAAATAAATCGTCTTAAACAAGAACTTCTTAATGCAGGAAATATACCTCGTGATAATCAAATATTACCACCAGAGAATAATGTAAGTTAATATAATGAGATATACATCAGGATTGATATTAATTTTTATTTATATAAGAAGTTTTCTTAATAAAAATGAATTTATCGTCGACTTTGATCAAATTTTTTAGTAGTATTACAATAATCTCTTTCATTGTGTTTATGCACCCGGAGCAATTCTAATTTGATTATGGATTAAGACCAAAAAAAAATAACCATGCGGAAAATCATCTCTACATGAATTTGCATATAATTGTTTACTTGAATATGATTCCTTATTCTCTGACTAGTGTTAGAACTAGATCCAGGATAACTTTTTTGTCCTGTTTTGTATCCAATTTTGTTATCAATTACTGGGCAATGTAATGATAACTTTTTTCTCTTAGTATTAATTCATTAGTGACCATTATTAATTGGATTTTTGAGTCGTCTTCTCGATGACAATAACTATGAAGAATTTGAAAAAAAAATCTGTGAATAGCTAAAAAGATTCTCTATCGGAGTCAGAGATGTCCATCGCGGCGCGACCGCTGCCGCTGTGGTGGTAGCGGTTGTTTTGTCAAATAACCATCGCGGTGCGGTGCAACAGCGATCGTTTTTTTAACTAACTATCGCGGCAGCGGTAGGTTTTTTGGAGAACAATGCAAAAATGCATGAATTCGAACAGAATTTCAATGTTTGCAAGTGCAAAACTATGAGATTCAACGAATCTTATCGATTGGTAACAACAGCTCAAGTCCTGAACAGTCACAGATCGTAAAATTCACAACATTATTCTAACAATCATCGCGGCAGCGGCGCGTTAGCTTTTTTCTTTTATCGTCGCGGCGCGGCAGTGGTCAGTTTTCAACCGCGATGGACATCTCTGATCGAAGTTCGGGAATCTAAAACTGTTTGAATGAGAATCGGCTCTCTTTATTGACTTCTTTCATCGTTTTGTATTCAATTTATATAAGACATCAAACTTAGCAAAATCATTGAAACTCTTTATTAAAATAGAGAAAAATGTTTTTTCGAGTTTTCTGTAAATTAAATGTCAATCTATGGAAAAACATCATGAAGAATTTTCAAATAATTGCCAGAAAACTAATTTTTCAGACATATTCATTCTAATAGCTGTATTGGAAGGTTTAGATTCGCTAATTTTTAATAGAGATTCCTTTTAGTTATCTAAATATTTTTTCAGATACTTGACAACTGTATTATGTTTTTGTAGTTATCTTCTCTTATTAATTGAATAATGAGAAATTTCTTTTTTTAATATAAATATATTTTATATTTAGGAACCTCCAATTAATCATGAAGAAGACATAGAAAAAGAAAGAGAAAGATTACGTGCTGAATTTGAACGTGAAGTATCTGAAATACGTCGACAATATGAAGCAGAACGTTTAACTAAAGAAGATATTCAACGAAAATATGAAGATTTAAAATTACAATATGATAGTGAACTTGATGCTTTAAATGCTAGTCGACCTAAAGATGAAAGTAAATAAATACAAAGAAAAAAAAACAAATATTTGATTTTGATAAATTAATTCTAAAAAGAAAAAAAATGCCTATTGTATGATTAGATGTACAACCATCACCACCAGTTCCAAATGAACGTAGTAAAACAACAACAAAGAAGAAAGGTGGAATTGTTAAACAAAAACGTGGTGGAGAAGAAATAACAAATGGTCAAGATATTGTTGATGGAGATATTACATCAGGACCTGTCGATGATATGGATCAACAACAAAAACTTGAACGTTTAAATGAATTAGAACATAAACTTGTTGGTGGAGAAGAAGCAAATAATGAAGAAAGAAAAAAGAAACGTAAAAAGAAATTAAATGAAATGCGTGAAAAATTAGAACAACGTAAACGTCTTAGTAAAGCAATCAATGCTGATGATGATGATACATTATTGAGAGTTTTTGATAATGCACAAGAGCAGGTTAGTTATCACAAACTTGAAAAGTATTTAAAATATATTTGTACCTAAACCTGATGAACCGTTGCATCAGTCTACGATAACTAAAACTCATCGGATTGGTCTAAAGTTTGGATCCGAAAATTTTTGATTCTATGGAATCTAGTCATCAAGGAAATACGTAAGATGTACTAATGTCCGTTTCAAAATATAAGAACCGTAGCCATTTTTTCGATAACTTTTGATAGGAACAAGTTAAAGTGGTGCAGTTTTCGTCATTAGAAAGAGAAGACTTAGGCACATCAATCCGTGCTAAAATATGATTGGTTAACAATAGACCAATCAGGTGCAATCTCGATGAAGATGTTGAGTACCCCTGTCTGGAGACATTTTTCAATTTAGTCCCATTCGTCAATTTATATGTTGATAGAAAAAATTGTTCTCTTTTGATCTACGAAAGGCCGACCTTTCTAGCTTGTTCCGTTCAAGAGTTATAAGCGTTTTTCTGAGACCCCTGATTTCAGCCAATTGACCTTGGATCAAACAGAAAACCATCTAGGATGGGGTAATTCATCATGCTGAGTCGAATGGTGATACTTTCTTTTGGATTCAAAATCATCTTACGGTATTATCTCAATATTTCTGAAATGTGGGCTCATGTGATACAGCGGTAGATATTGAAATGTAGAAAATTCCTAAAACACAGTGGAAGATAGTTTTGAATCCAAAAGCAAGTATCACCATTCGACTCAGCATGATGAATTGCTCCATCCTAGATGATTTTCTGCTTGATCCAAGGTCAATTGGCTGAAATCAGGGGTCTCAGAAAAACGCTTATAACTCTTGAACAGAACAAGCTAGAAAGGTCGGCCTTTCGTAGATCGAAAGAGAACAATGTTTTCTATCAACATATAAATTGACGAATAGGACTAAATTGAAAAATGTCTCCAGACAGGAGTGCTCAACATCTTCATCGAGATTGCACCTGATTGGTCCATTTTTAACCAATCATATTTTAGCATGGATCGATGTGCCTAAGTCTTCTCTTTCTAATGGTGAAAACTTCACCATTCTAACTTGTTCCTATCAAAAGTTATCGAAAAAACGGTCACGGCTCTTATATTTTGAAACGGACATTAGTCATCGAATGCAAAAAGTATCTTGTGGGCCATTGTACTGTTCGACAAGGTCCGAAAATTTTGAATCCAGCGGGCTTTAACAGTGACATCGGTAATCATCGTCACCATTGTACTCTTACTTATGATAATTTTCTGTCCTACAGAGCCGATGTCGCATGATCAGTTATCTCCCATTCGATTTCACTTTGCTATAAAATAACATAAATATTTTTCTAAAATACAAGTTCACTGAAAAAAATAATTCAAAAAAGATCTAAATGAAACGAAGTTCATTTTTCTTGTATAAATATTTACATTTTGTTACTAAATTTTCTATTGATACTCTAAGAAATCGTTCATATCGAACTATATTACATTATGTTGAGGATGTGCCTTTTAGTGAAGTAAACAAATGTATACATATTTGATACAAATAAAGTTGTTAATGAGATTTGTTGATTGTACAACTAATATTTGCTTTGATACATAATTTCAGTTGAAAAACAATTTAAAATTTTCTTATTCGAAATTTTAATTATCTTTATTAGAATAAATAAATTAAAGTTTTAATCCATATTTCTTTTTTTTTGCATAGCTTCATTTTACTACGAAAAAATTAGAATATGAAATTACTGAAAATAAACGTTTAAAAAATGATAATGAAGATTTACAACATGAATTTCAACGTGAACGTGAAGGATATTTAAATACAATTCGTGAACAAGAAAAACGTCTTCTTCTCTATCGTACAATGATTGATAAAATGAGTAATATTATGCAACGTAGTTGTAACTATAGAAATGTTGATAGAATTATTGAACAAGCACGTTATGATGAAGATAAAAATCAATATATTTTACCTGAACCAACTATAGAAGAAATTCAATTACCTCAAATGGGAAATTTACCAACAACAACAACAACAACAACAACAAATGGACGTATACCACAAAGTGATTATATAATACCAACAAAATCCATATCTACACCACCAACAACTGAATATGAAGATGATTTTATTGAAGCAGCACCAGTTAACAATGGTTATAATAATCAATATTCAACAATGAATACAGAAGATCTTGAACGACGTTATGGACGTTATGATACAACAAATTTACCACCAGAAAAAACACGTATTAAACGTCAAGAACAATTATTAAATGAAAGTTCAATTTTACAACGAACAAAACGTCCATTACAAATGAATAATGATAATGATTATATGAATCGTCGTCTTAATCCATATGAAGCACCAGCTCGACTAAGTCGTAAATATGGTTTTTCATCGGATAAACAATAAAAATAAAATAAAAACAAAACACAAACACACACACCCACCTAACCCGTGCATAAATATATATATATATATATATATATATTCTTTCATCCGGTCAAAGATGATATTATTTTCTTTTATTTTTACTAGTCGTATGAGATTTTATCTATACTCAAAAACAACAACAACAAGAAAAACAAAACAAAAGACATATTGTTTTATGTATAGATAAATATACTTGGTGATATTGTATCGAGCTTTTTTCTTTTTGTCTTTAATGAAATTATTTTTTCAAATATTTCAGATCTTCTTTTTATTCTTAAAATTACAATAAACATGTGATGTTGTGTACACTATCAAAAAATTTACTTCTATGATAAGAAAGTCTTGATACAAAATATGTGTTCATTTTTTCGACTAGCCAGTTAAATTTAGAAGTAGTTAATTAAAATCTAAATCTTTCAATCTTGTTGAAATGTATTCAAAAGATCCCTTTAGGATAAGGTTGAACAAGTATTATCAGATTGTTTCAAAATACAATTTTTGGTCAATATTGTATTTTGTTTGGAACTTATCAAATTCTAAAATACGAAACAGTTTTTAATGGCTTTGTTTATTTTACAAACAGTGCTATTAACTTTTGCATAATAGATTTTAAAAAAAGCTTGCAATTTTTTCGCACCAACACTGATATCCATAGAAAATAGATCTTTATTGAAAACGCATGAACGAGTTTTTGCTTATTATAATATGCGCTATTTCAGGCAAGAACTTCTATAATATTTAATCATCTTTTAGTTGGCTTGATAATATAAGAACATCGATTAAAGCTATTTATCTCTGATTTAAATACAGGAGGCAAAATTTCGCTGATACTATGAATCGATATCTCTCTTGTAAGAATAGTACTATAAATATAGGAAATTAATTTTCAGTTTTTCAAAATCGATCAGCAAAACGTTCCGATTTTTTTAAATTAAATTGACGAACTCATTTGAAATTAAAAAAAAAAAGAAGGAATACAGAGTTGTCAGAATCATTTATTCGAACGATGTCATGAGTCACTGATCAGATGAGTAGGCAGACTATGTATTTTGAGCAACGGGTTCACAGTAAACTAAAGTGCATGAATATACCACTTATCTAACATAAAAACACTCACTTTTTGGAACGAAAAATTTTAAATTTTGCAAATAGTGTCGATATCTTAACCTCGTTTTTAACTGTTTATTTCATATATAGTTTTACTGGTAAAGAAGAAATATGTGATAATTAATCAAGGTTTTTGGTGCAATCAACAATATTAGTTTCCTATATTTATATTACTATTCTTACAAGAGAAGATTCGATCCAATATTATATTGTTTGAAACGTTGATACAAGTATTCAAACCTCATATAAATACATTCAATTAAAAATTGTTCCCTTCGTGCATAAAGTAATTTTTGTCGAGATTCAGATCTTATTAAAAATCCTGTATATAAATAAGTTGAGAAGTTCTAGTGCCAAATAGGACTTCTAAACCTAATTTTTTTTAAAATAAGGTAGACATATTCTAGTCTGAATGGAATAATATTTTAGTGTGCATGCATGTATTCATCCTGATATATTAAAAGTAGAAAAAAAAACAATTTTCGTATCTCTACTGCATTTTTTTCGTATTATATTACTTTGTACAGAAAGATATGTACAATCTAAAATCACAAGTTGTCAGATGGTTTCGTAACTTAACCTAGAGAAATTCTCTATGCCTGTTATGGCAAAAAGCAGTGTAGTACTTAGGAAAGCTATTACATTCGTAGAACCCTGTTTTCGTTATGTACGTCGTACCTACGTTCATTGTCCTATGGAACCGATGTCGTCCGCTCTGTACGTACCTTTTTCAGGGTTGCAGAAGACCTTCTTGATTGCGCGTATGTGTGCGCGATAATCAACCAAGAAAAGTCGAGCAGAAAAGTGAATAGCAATCGAAAACAATTTATTGAACAAACAAGAGGAAAATGTTACAACTTCTTTCGAATTGTTTCAAATGTTTCTTTATAGTTCAAAAGATGAGGATGATTTGAAGGCAATTTTTCTTGAGCAATTTCTATCGCTTGTTGGACATTTTTCATTGCCATACTATATTCTTCAGTAGCCAAATATAATTTCGCTAAACTATGATAGATTAAAGCTAAATCAGGATGATTTTTTGGTTGTTTCTTTTCACGAATTTCTAATCCTTTTTGAAAATACATCAATGCCATTGTATAATCATTCATTTCCCCATACGTTTCACCTAGATTTGTATATATCGTTGCACGTTCCAGAGGATTACACTGAACAGTTTCTTGAATATTTAATGCTTTTCGATGACATGAAAATGCCTTTTCATATTCTCCCATTAATCGATAAACATCACCAATATGACTATATGTTATAGCGAAATTCGGATGTCGATCAGGTAGCATTTTTTGATCTATTATGAGAGACTTCTTAAAATATTTGAGTGCTTTTCTGTACTGTTTCATACTGCAATAAACCTTACCGAGCCATTGATATGGAGAACCCAAGTCAGGATGACTTGGAGGCGAAATATTTTTTGCTATTTTCAAATCTTTTTTGAAAAACTTAATTGCTTTCAAATAGTCACTCATGTGGTAATACACTGATCCAATCATGTTGTAGGAAGCCGCCAAATCGGGATGATTCGGAGGCATAACTATTAGTTTTATTTTAAGTGATTTTTCGAAAAATTCCAGTGCTTTCGAGTAATGACCCATCCCATTGTACACTAGACCGATGTTGCTGTAGGATTCAGCCAAATCAGGATAATTTGCAGGTATAGCCTTTTCGAGGATGTGATTTGCTTTTTCGAAAAATTCTAGTACTTTCGAGTAGTCACCCATATCGTTATACACTAGACCGATATTCTTATAGGAAGTAGCCAAATCAGGATGATTCGGAGGCAAAGCTTTTTTTCTTATTTTACGTGATTTTTCCAGAAATTCAAGTGCTTTCGAGTGATGACCCATGTCATTATACACTAGACCCATGTTGTTATAGGATTGAGCCAAATCGAGATGAGTTGGAGGCAGAGCTTTTTCAAGTATCTTATGTGCTTTTATAAAAAACTCATTTGCTTTCGAGTAGTCACCCATGCTATCATACACTCCACCGATGAGGTTGTAGGACAGAGCCATATCGGGATGATTGGGACGTAGAACTTTTTCTTTTATTTTATGTGCTTTTTCGTAGAATTCAATTGCTTTTGAGTAATCCCCCATATTGTTATAAGCCAGACCGATGTTATTGCAAGAAATAACCAGATCGGTATGAGTTGAAGACAGAACCTTTTCTCTTATTTTATATACTTTTTCGAAAAACTCGAGTGCTTTCGAATAGTCACCCATGCTATCGTAGACTGCACCGATGTTGTTGTAGGAAAGAGCCAAATCAGGATGATCCGAGGGCAGACGTTTTTCGAGTAGCTGATGTGCTTTTTCGTAGAATTCAAGTGCTTTCGAGTAGTTACCCATGTTGTCACAAGCTAGACCCATGTTATTGTAGGACGTAGCCAAATCAGGATGATCCGGAGTAAGAGCTTTTTTTCTTATTTCAAGTGATTTTTCAAGAAACTCAAGTGCTTTTGAGTAGTCACCCATGTCATTATACACTAGACCAATGTTACTGTAGGATTGAGCCAAATCAGGATGAGTTGGAGGCAGAGCTTTTTCTCTTATTTTATATGCTTTTTCGAAAAAATGAAGTGCTTTCGAATAGTTACCCATGCTATCATACACTCCACCGATGTTGTTGTAGGAAATAGCCAAATCTGGATGATTTGAAGGCAGAATTTTTCCTTTTAGTTCATGCGCTTTTGCGTAAAATTCAAGTGCTTTCGAATAATCCTCCATGTTGTTATAGATCAGACCGATATTATTGTAAGAAGTAGCCAGATCAAGATGATTCGAAGGTAGAACTCTTTTTCTTAATTCAAGTGAGTTTTTGAGGAACTCAAGTGCTTTTGTGAAGTCACCCATTCCGTTGTATACTAGAGCAATATTATTGTTGGAACTGGCCAAATCTGGATGATCGGAGGGCAGAGTTTTTTCGAGTATGTGATGTGCTTTTTCGAGAAACTCAAGTGCTTTGGAGTAGTCTCCCATGTCGTGATACACTAGACCGATCGTATTGTAGATATTAGCCAATGTTGGATGATCTTTCGGAAGAGTTTTTCGGTAAGTTTCGATAGCTATTTTGTAGAATGAAACTGCTGCATTGCATTGTCCTTGGTTCCATTTCAACAGGCCAAGATCGTTATAAATAGATGCTTTACTACTTTCGTTAGATGTTTTGTCTAATAGTGTGGCATAAAATTCTTCAGCCTTATTGAGTTGACCTAGTTTTAGCAGCAATCGACCTATTCTATACCATTCGGTACCGTCGACCTCTTCACTTATAATATCGGTAATTTGACGTAGTTGTTGGTCGTCATCTGTCGTAAGTTTAAGATCCACTTCGTGAAGGGTTTTTTTCTTATCAATTCTTCGAATTTCACCAATGCGAAAAACCGTGTGCATGGAGAAGAGAATTTCTTCCTCTTGTGCGAAATAACTCACGTCCTGGACAGAGGCAAATGGAGTCGATGAGACAGTGGGATCGATCGTCATTTGAAAAAGAATCCCAACCATATCAGTTTTTCCTAACGCATGTTTGGCGAAATCGAGGGAAATATTTCGATTTGTACTGGTGTATAAGAAATTATTGAAGGATATTAGTCCACCTTTGTTTTTCGAGAGTTTCTCGAAGTCTGCTGTCAATAATGCTCGTCCGAGATAAACTGTAAAAGCCTTTCCATGATATTGACTGATCTGTCTCTTGTGTAAACTTTCAATTTGTCGATGTAAATCACAAAGATAAAATCCCATTCTGATAATGATGTCACTATCAAGCGTTCGTATTGCACGATTAAGCATTTTATATATGAAACATTGGCGTGTATACCACCAAATAGCCCATGATGGGTTATAAATGCGTCGAAATTCATCAATAAGTTTTAGTTCTTGTGTATTGCCCTGGTATTGTTCTTGGCAAAACGTGATCAAGTGATTGATGGCATTTTGATCATGTTTCATATCAAGAAATATTTCCTTGACTATTTGGGAATACATGAAGGTTGGTTCTAACCGATTGAAGCTGTCTCTAGAACCTTCTTCATTGACACCAAAAATACTGACCACTGTATTATTTTGATTGCATTGCTTAACAGCCACTTGCAATGCTTTGCATATAGATTGAATTGATTTATAGACGCCTTTCACTTTTGTCCAATTTCTAGCCCATTCGTTATCACGTTGCGTTTTTCGACAAAAGATGTATATAGTATCAAGTTTTGGCATTCCGTGAATATCTGGTACGAGATATTGCCCAAGTGAACCAGAGGAGATAACGAATGATGTCTCCCCCTTATTTTCATTGAGCCATGTCATGCATTCTTCCGCCGTGGTACAAATATGCACTTGATTGACAATACTGCGTAATTGTACGAGTGAATGTTGATAATCTTCATCTTGCATGTTAATATTTTCATCGACCCAGATGACTAAGTAGTTTTCAACTATGCGTCGTCTTCGTTGTCCATTCATTTTGAGAGACTCTTGTCGTTTACTCGATAATGGAGTTTGGTACAATAATAAATTGCTGTTTGAACGCAGTTTACCTTTTCTATTTATATATGCGATGTTTGTTGTTTTCTTTTTCTAAATTATTCTACGACGTCAAATGTGCGTATTTTTTTCCTTGATACTCAATAACCAACTATACATGGTTTCAATTGAAAACATGTTTACCAAACATATATGAATGAGAAAAAAAAACCGAACAACGTGATTTATTTTAGTTATTTTTTCCGATTTTCATTGGTTACTCATGTGTATAGTAGCTTGTGTATCACCGCATGTTAGATACCTTGCCACACACATTGTATATTTTTTCCTTGATTCTTTCAAAACGATTATCTTTTTCTCTCTATCAAGAACGAAAAAAAAAAACAAGGACATCGTCTGTTTGTTTGTTTTTTTTATTATTTATCTATTTGTCATGCTGATAATGCGAATGAAACAAGAAGAAATGTAAATTCAATTTTAGTTGAGGCAATAATCGAAGCGGTTTTAATTTCCGAATATACTGCTGATCATTAACGAGTAATTGAACTAAAACAAATATTCTCATTATGCTTAATCCTGACTGATATGTAGCAGCACGTCTCATGGTGATTGAAGTAATGATGACTGGCATAATTCGAGTTTGAAAATAATGAAAGGTCAAAGTACCTATCACCAATTGAAAAATGAATGAACCATCTTAATGAGAGCTTTAAACATCGATATAGCAAGTCAAGCAAGCAAAAGTATTATTTTATAGTTGAAGATATGGACGTAAGTCGTATGATGCACTATTATACAGTTCGAATTTAAAATTCAAATCAATATTCAGAATAAAATTAAATCAAATTTTCTTTCATATGTCGATGACGTAAATTGTTAGTTGAATAAAAATTACTATTGATAAAAAATTTATAATATTTGATTTTTGATTGTTTGAGCTATATGTGAATACGAAGATTTCATTTATATTTGAGTTCTTATAAGAAAAGTACTTCTAAATTCACATTTCTTTCCTCATTAAAACCAATGTCATCATGAAGATGTGTGAATCAGACTAGCAGACTAAATATATCATCATTTACGATCTTAATAAATTGTTTTTTGATTTTTTTTTTGCTATATTTTTTCACATATAAGTATCATCAAAACATGTTTTGTTGTCTTATGATACTATAACTCAAATAATAAACATTGCTCGTAACGTTGATTGCATAATTCTTATGAGTTTTTTCTAAAAATACAATTATAAAAAACAAGATAGATCAATAAAAAAAGTTGATTAATAACAAAACAATAACAAGTAGAATGTAATTTTTATTATTGGTGTCATTTGTTTTTTTTGTCTATTGTTCGTATCTGGATAGTAAAGAAAAATGTGACGATAAAATATGTTAACAAAGGATTACTGAAGAAAAAAAAAACGTAATATTGCATTTTTCTAATTGTACTTTCTTTTTTTATGTGATTATATCTAATGAAGAGTTTCTTGTAAATATCTATATTGTTCTATTGTGTTGATCAGTTCGAATCAATCAAATTACATTAAAAATCAATTCAACATTATTCATTACATTACATTACATTCATTTCGTTTTTCTACATAGTTATTGAATCATAAGAAGCTAATGTTACGAAAATCTGTTAGTTCTCTTGAGCTTAGATTTATTTTGTCCGACAAGAATATTTAAAAGTTTATCATAATGTAAGTCGAGTATTTTTATGAAAAATTTCTTAGTTTTAATAATATTTACATTGAAAAATTGAAAAGAATGTTAGTATAGAATAGATTGCTAAGAAATGAGAGAAAAGTATTTCAAAAGCTGAAAAGTAATGATCTTAAATTAATTTATTTGATTTTATGATTTTTCAATCTATTAGAAATGATCGTTCTTGACTTTTATGAACTACGAAAAATCTAATCAAATTAGTATTTTGAATAAAATTGATTATTTTCAATGTCAATTATATTCTTTTATTCATCCATGAAATGTAAAAAATTTTAAATCTTCCAGAATGTTTTCACCAGCTACTTCTCATTACCGTTCATTGACGAAATAAATTTTACTCTCCAATGAAATTATTTTTAACACTCAATTGAGATCAAAGCTGTAAAGTTCGATGGCAACTGCAATTTGTTCTCGGATGAAATCGATGAGACCATTGAGTCTATGATTATTTGATAAAGGATACTGGTCATATCAGATGTTACTAAAGCATTCTTGGCGAAACCGAGCGCAACATCTTGATTCCTACTAGTGAATAAAAAACTATTGGATTATATAATTCATAGCTTTATTTTTGGCGAATTTTTCTAAATCTGCTTTCGATAACTCTTGTCTCCGAAAGACTCTAAGGGTCTTCTCATATATATATATAAATAGCATAAGTTTAGTCGTTGATAATACACATAAAAATTTAATATGAAGATCCGTGGTGGCTCGACTGAAGAGCGTCTTGTGGTGTAATAGCCTTCCAATCATGAAAAAGTTTTTTGTTGTTTTCTAATGAAATTAAAATTTTTTACTGTTCTGTTAGAAAAAGTAAACTTCATGCTTCTCCAAATCAAAAATTGGGACACGGGAAATTTTGAATAGCCTATCGTTAAATGTTATTCAAGCATGTATGAAAAAAAAATCTCAGAAAGTATATAAACAGTTATGATACGTGTTCATCAGTTCGATGAACCAGTGATTGCTACTCCCTCGTGAATAGAAACGACAGAAATGATTTTTATAAAGTCTTATTTATAAATACTTGCACAGAATAATTTAAATCTTAAAATTGAGAGATTCATCAAATAACCATAGTTTCGTTTGTTTAAGAGCGATTTCAATGGTTTGGAAAACTTTTTGACAAGTAACAATGCAAAAAGAATATTGATCATCACTACTGTTAAATGATAATTAATTCAAAAACACTTCAAAAGTAAATAGGACAAAATACAGATTTATAAAACAAAAAAAGCAAAATCTGCCTAAAAATTCATTTTAATTTGTTTTTGATTAAAGCCCTACTTTTTCATAAGAAATGTTATGAAACAAACTCTGAAGCATTCTTATTTTATTATTAAGATTACTTTTTTTTTTAACATTCAATTTAGATCTTTCCTAAGTTAAAACTTATTCTTAAATTACTAATTTAAAAAAACAAATAAATAAATTCAAAGAAGCAAAATGTGTGACATGAAGAGCATAAGATAAATTATCAACATTGAGTTTAATAAAACACAGTATTCTTTGTTATTGAAT